GGGTTTGAACCGCCAGCTGTCTGGTTAGCAGGCAACTGTCTCAGCCACTATGCTACCAGAGCTCCCCATTAGCCAATAGAGAGATGCAAAGCAAAACAACAATGAGATACTATCTCATCCCAGCAATAATAGCAAAATTCAACAAGACAGAAAACAACAAATGCTGGTGAGGGTGTGAAAAGATTGAACTCTCATATACTGCTGGTGGGACTGTAAAACAGTGCAACCATGCTGTTAGAATTTCCAAATATATAATAGTGCTAACAAGGGGCAAAGTTATGATAACTTCTTGACCATAGCCCACCATCCTGAGGGAGCAAGTAGTTAGACCTGTAAGCTCAGGACCATCGTCTTAGGGGACATCAGACTCAATTGGCATAACATACTACACAAAAACATTGTTCTACATTCTACTTTGGTCAGTAGCAACTAAGGTCTTAAAAGCTTGCAAGAGGCCATCTAGATGCAACAGTGGGTCTCTCCTTGTCCAACGCAAAGAATGAAGAAAACCAAAAATGCATGGAAACAATTAGTCCAGGGGACTAATAGATCATTCAAACCTCAGCCTATATGACCATGAGACCAGAACTAGATGGTGCCCAGCTGCCACTGTCAACCACTTGGAAAGGGATCAGTGCAGGAGATCCTGGGTGGAATGGGAGATCAATGTGGAACAAAACTCAAAATCGTAAAAAAGATCAGGCTTACTGATCTGATAGAGCCTGGTGAGACCCTCAAGAAGACTATGGCCCCTAGTTACCCTTCAGGACTGGAACTGAATTCACTCCTATGGCTTCCAGCCAAACAATAGACAAGCATATAGAGTGAACATTTATATCAGGTAGATACACTCCTTGGAATGAACAGCCGTGGAAGAACAGAAGGGCAGTGTTTGCACAGGGAGATAATGTGGGGGGGGGGGGCGCAGGATGCATAGGAAAGAAGGACACAGGGAAGAGAGAACTACAGGGAAGAAGTGGGAAGAGAGCTGTTACATTGTAGAGAATTGCAGTCAATGTCATGAAACAAAATGTGTATGAACTGCTATGTGGAAAATGAATTTGCTCTGTAAACTTTCACCCGAATCACAATAAAAATTAATAATAATGATGGTACAACCATTTTTTTAAAAAGGTAGAACTAGAAATACCATTTGCTCCAACAATCCCAGTACTGGGAATATATCCTAAAGTGACAGCTGGGACAGGGTTAGATATACACACACTCTGTTCATTGCAGCACTATTCACAATAGCAAAGAGATTGAAACAACCTAAGTGTCCATCAGCAGTTGAATGGATAAACAAACTATGATACACACAATGGAATACCATGCAACATTAAAGAAGAATGAAGAATCCACAAAACACTTCATAATGTAGATGAGCTTGGAGGCATTATGCTGAGTGAAATAAGTTAATCACAGAAGGGCAGATATTATATGACTCCACGGTTACAAAAAGTGAAGGAGAGATTTACACACAGAATGAAACATTCTTTGATAGTTACCAGGGAGGGAAGGAAAAATTATTAGCCAGGTAAGAGGCACATACTGACTTGGGTGAAGGGAAAACCAATATACCAAACATGGATGACCAGCACAATATCACTAAGGAAAAGGAACATAAAGACAAGTACACAAGAGGTATAAAGAACAAAGGTAAACGTATTATGTTCACAATACTGTGTTGTCAGTAATAACAAACATTAAGCTACGAGTGAATAAATAGGTAGACAGGCAAAATGATCAGGTATGGGTAGGCAAACAGGACTATACCCATGACCATATAAAGGTTTGGCAGACAATATCTCTAATACATTTGTATATAGAGAGAGAGTTAACAAGGGGCAGAATCACTGGGCTTGTGGGCTCAGGACCATACTCATGAGTGGCATCAGTCTTGATTGGCATTGCGTAGTACACAAAAACACTGTTCTGCATCCTACTTTGGTAAGTAGCAACTGAGGTCTTCAAAGCTTGCAAGCTGCCATCTAAGATGCATCTGTTGGTCTCTCCTCATTCGGAACAAAGAAAAAGAAAATCAAAGCTGCATGGAAACAATTAGTCCAAAAGACTAGTGCACCAGGGAATCTCAGCCTGCATGGCCCTAAGACCAGAACTAGATGGTACCCGGCTGCCACTCCTAGCTACTTGGAAAGGGATCAAAATTGGAGATCACGATAGAGTAGGAGAAAATGTGGAACAAACTCAAAATCATAAAAAAAGACCAGGCTTACTGGTCTGATAGAAATTGGTGAAACTCCCAAGACTATGGCTCCTAGATAACCTTCAAGCCTGGAGTAGAACTCAAGCCTGTGGCTCATTGTCATCCAAACAGTAGACAGTCCCACGAAATGAAAATTACGCCAGGTAAGTATACGTTCCTTAGAACAATCAACCATAAGAAGTCAAAAGGGCAGCATTTGTGGAAGGATAAAGCTCAGAAGGCAGGACTGCATAGGAGAGAAGGACACAGGTAAAAGCTAACCACAAGGAGAAAGTAGGAAGAGAGCCATTACATTGTGGGGATTGCAGTCAATGTCATGAAACAAAATGTGTATGAACTGTTTAATGGAAAAAGGATTTGCTGTGTAAACTTTCACCTAAATCACAATAAGGAGTTAAAAAAGAAGAATTCCATAAATGGCAGGAGAGTCATTGTAGGTGGATGTGATGCGGATGAGGTTGGTGAGGTACGGGGCCTTGTAGACCAGGGTTAAATGATTTGCTATTGTGAAAAGACATGGGCTACAGTCCTGAACCTACCACTGAAAAGCTTACATTGAGCAAGTCATATAAACTTTTGAACTTAAGTTTCTTCATGTGTAATGCGGGGTACTAATCCCCACCTTGCAGAACTGCTGTCAGGATGAAATGAGTTGAAAGAAGAAAAATACTCAGCATCCTGTAGTGGACCTCAGTAAAGGAGAGCTGACATTATTATTACACTAAGGCCCTGGAAGAAACATAATATTAGAATAAGCTACCTGGAGTACCTTCATAACCATACCGCGAACTGACCCTATTCCTTTCTTCCTTCTCAAATTACAGGTCACCAAAAGTAATGGCATCGCCCCTGGGCCAGATTCCAGTGCAAGGGCAACCCATTCAGAAAGACTCCACCACGTTGGAAAACTAGAGGTGTTTTGGACCAACCTTGAACCAGCCTCCCATGACTAGTCAGTCAGCCATTGGCTCCCTCTTCCTCTTTTTCTTACACTGGAGAGTACATGATGCCTGAAGCAGGATTGGACCACAGGCAGCCTTTGATTGGTCCAGGCAATTGCAGTCATCCATCCCAGTTTGCCCCTACTCCTATTTCTCCATTTGGCACAGGCCCCTGCAAATGAGGACAGGTTATATTAGAAGACTTGGGGTAAATTGAAGAATGGCCTTCCACCTCCCCCAGGGCCTGTCTTTGCTGTGGAGGTCAATTTTGGACCAATCTCTGCAGCTAAAGATATAAGCTCTCCCTGGGCTCCAGGGAAACCTGAAGCATTCACACCAGACTTTGGCCAAGGCAGGAAATGGCAGATGGAAGTGGCTACCACTTGAGAGCTTGGAGGTGAAGTAACACTCCCCACTCCCCCAGAAGAGGCAGACTCTCCTGAGACTGGGACCAGATGCTGGCCAATTGTGCAGATTTCTCCCACTCTACAGTCTCCTCCTGGAACAGTGATACAGTCCTGACAGAGCACTGCTGTCTCGCCTGTCCCTTCTCCACAGTTCCTGAATGGTGCTAAGGAGCTGCAGTAGCTGGGGCAGGCCGAACCAGATGAGGCCTCAGTACGAGTGGGCTCGTGCAACACTCCAGTGGGAACCTTCCCTGCTCTATCAGAGGTGCTGTGACCCAGGGTCATGTGGGAAAGTCCCCCACATGCAAGTTTCCATGACAGTTGTGTACCTTTAAAGGCAAACTGCCTCATGCCAGCCAGCCCAAAGGTTCACCACTGCCCTTCAGCCCCTATGGCCCTCTCCTTCCTGTGTGCAACAGACCCCCTGCCCAGATCCTGTGGTGCTAGCCTTTCCCCCTCCACCAGCAGGTTCCCAGGTACCAAGGAGGCTGATGGAGCCCCCAGGGAAAGAAACAGAGAGCTGATACAGATTTCTAAAGTAAGGAAACGTGTCCCTGGGCCCCAAACCCAGATTTGCTCAACTCTGCTGTGTTTAATGGCCTGGGACTTCACTAGAAGTGGATTTTTCCTTGTTGCTTTCAGGCAAGAATTCTAGGGAGTGTCATCATCAGAGGCCCTTCTTCATAGGGTCGAGAAAGTCCCTAGCTGCTCTTATAGCCTCCTCCCCAATTCCCTATCCTTTTGCCTGTGAAATGCCTTCATATATCGTGTGTGGTTGAGTGTGTGTGTGTGCTTATGCTCTGCCTCTTGGTCACTGAAGCATCCAAATAAAGAATTTCTCCAGTGAGCCAGCCTGCAATGTAACAGACCTAGAATTTGGGGCCATATTGCCATTGGATCTAGTGTGTCTGTCTTGACCTGTCACCCCAACACCACTCAGACTCCCAGGGCCCTCAGGACTGATCTTGGGAATTGGGACAGAGACAGATACCCAGAAGTCTCCCAGGTGTCCTAGACTCAACCTCATCTAGATGGCCACCTCCCCCTATTGCATAGGGCCTCGAGGACACTTTAGGAGGAGTTAAGCTAGGGATCAGCTTTCTGTTTGAAAAGGTCACTGCTGTGTGGAGAAAGAATGCAGGGGAGCAGGAAAGAAAGTCTCTTCTGACATCCATTTTGTTCTTTTCTTTCTTTCTGGTTCTCTCCAGGCTAAAGACCCAGCCCCACTCATTTGTACCTCAGTGCCCAGAGTGGGGTGTCATGGAATGTTTGCTGAATGAATGAAGGCGAGTATGTGAGCATAGGTAGTCTTTTCCTGCTTATCTCCTACACAGGTTTGTTATGCATGTCTTACCATCACCCTAGTGGTTATTGGACAATCCTTTTCCATTGCCCAGAGATGTTCTGGGAAAAGGGTGAATGGAATGGGTTTCTTGGATATCCACTCTGCCAGCCAAGAAGGGACCCATGTGGTCCCAGGATGGGTTTTTTGTTCTCAGCCTCTCAAGCTCAGACTGCCTCAGCCATTCTACCAGGGTCCCTCTACCGTACCCAGCATGTCAGAATTGGCCCCATCTTCCAGGCAAGGAAGTGAAGGCGAAAAGGGTGAGTGGGCACCAGTCCATGAGCCCTTGGCCTATAGGACCTCTTGGTCTGGACTCAGGAGTTCCTGAAAGCTGTGTGCCTAGCTAGCTCTGAGTGTGACAAGGAAGAGGTGAGCACTCTCCCTTGGGAAGCTCACACACAGTTGAAGATCACTGTGACAGTGGGTCAGAGGGTTACATAAACAGGGCCCTGTGGAATTGCCCAGGATGTAGGCACTGTTTTGGTTAAGGGTATGAAACAGCTGGAGAATTTGAGAGACTAGTATTTCAGTCATTATCTCATTGGATCTGCATGTTACCTTTTGAGCTAGGTGATGATATTTCTACTTTCTAGACAAATAAATAGACTCAAGGTATAGTGGTTTGCCCAAGGTCTCCCCTACTGAAGAGTGGCAGAATGAAAAATGGAATCTGTTCTCTAGACTCCTAAGCCAGAACCCTTTCCAAACTAGGCCACATCCTTCCCATGGGACTCCTGAAGCCTGCCTTACCCATCTTCAGGCAATCTCAGAGCGATAAGCCACTCATGGCAGGAGCAGCAGCAACACCCACCAAAAATGAAGCTCAATGTTTATTTTTTACTCCAAGCCTCCTCTTGTAGTGCTCGTAGTTTTACCCAAGATTCCCTGTGTCATGCATTCCAATTATAACTATAAGAAACCCAAATCGAACTGGTTAGCTAAAAACAGAAATTTATTGATTTATGTTATGAAAACTCCAAGTGGAGGAATCTTACTCTGCTTTCTTCTGCATGGGCTCTGTGTGGCTGTCTCCAAGAGGTGGCAAGATGGCTACAGCTCTAGGCTTATTCCTGATAGATTAGCAGCCACAGTGGAAAGAACATCTCTTTCTGCTAATTCCAATAAAAGTTCTGGGATTGATTCAGCCAGGTTGGCCCTGTTCCCATCCCTGTACCAGTCACTGTGTCAAGGGGGAAGCAGTACCCTGATTTGGGGGCCTGGGTGCTGAAGCCAGGAGGAGTCACCTCCAGCTAAAACACAAAGAGAGAGAGCTGCATCCCCAAAAAAAGAAAATTATGGGGCTCTTACCAGATATGGAAAAGTGGATGCTACTAGGCAAAAGCAACTGTTGTCCACCACATTTAGGAATTTCTTATTTAACTACTTTTTTTTTTTCAACTTTTTGAGCTGCAGCGTAAATTTGGTAGTGAGTCCCAATTTTCAGACAGTTTGATGCATCTATACCCTACACATATCTGATGAATCCTCATAGATGTGTATACATCTGGGCAGCCATCCTCCAGTTCAAGATACAAAACATTGCTAGTCCCCACAAAGTTCTCTCATTCTCCTTCCTAGTCAATATCCTCTCTATCACCGTAGTTTTGCTTGCTCTCGAACTTTATAAAAGGAAATCATACATATGTTCTCTTGAGTTCAATATTATTTCTGTAAGAGTCATCCATGGTGTGAACATCAGAAATTTATTTTTATCACACCACATAGTAGTGCGTTACATGAATATACCACTATTTAACCATTCTACTGTTAAAGGGCATTTGGGTAATTTCTAGTTTCTGGCTATTATAAATAAAGCTGCTGTGAAAATTCTTGTACATATCATTTGCTACAAATATGAACACACGCCCAGGAGTGGAATTGCTATATTACGGAGAAACTATGTTTAGCTTGTCTACTAGATACCACCAAATGATTTTCCAAAGTAGTTTTACCATTTTACGTTCCCACTTGACATGTATGAGAGCTCTTCTTATTCTGTCTACTTGCCAGTAGTTGGTATTGCCTGTCTTTTTTTTATTTTGGCCATTCTGGTGGTACCCAGGAATTTGAACCCAGGAGTCCTCCTGACTTCAAATTGGTGCCCCTCTTATTGTGAGCACCCATGAGATTAGCTCTGAATTACTGTAGCCTGGAATGGTCTCCAACATGACTTCCCAGGACCCACAGTACAGCAAGTAAACATTAGCCGGAGACCCTGCCCATGGCTCTGGTGGGCAGGGAAGGTCTCACGAAGGCATTGGTCCTATTCCAATATAGTGCAGTAGCAAGGAACTCAGGTTCTAGAATTAGGTGGCCAGAGTTCAGATCCCAGCTCTGCCACTACTGGGCTGTGTGATCTTGGTTAATTAACTTCTCTGTGCTACAGTGAAACATTTGTGTCTACTTTACTGGATTATTAGGAGCCCAGATGGTGCAGTGGTTAAGTACTGGGGTGCTAACAGAAAGGTCAGTGGTTTGAATCCACCAGCCACTTGACATATGAAAGATAGGCATTCTGCTTCTGTAAAGATTACAGCCTTGGAAACCCTATGGGGCAGTTCTATTCTGTCTTACAAGATACCTATGAGACAGTATCAACAGTAGCAGAGTATAGGGTTATTACAGGTATTAATAGATATATGTTAAATAATTAGAGTGATTGGCACATAATAAATGCTATATAATTGATGGCTGCTGTTGTTTCTGTTAGTGGCCTAAGACCTGAGTTCCCCTGGGGAGGTGAGACCACAGGCCCAGCACAGCCCCCTATATTAAAACTCAGTAACTTACAACATAACAGAAATTTAATTCAATCTGACTGAAGTGGGGAAAAGAAAAAGCAACATGTTGGCCACAGGTGGTTCTTGCCTGGGCCTCTCAGCAAGAAGTCATATGCTGTTAGGAGTCATATGATACCCAAGGAGTAGATTAAATGGGATCATACATACAAAGGTCTTAGTTCACAGCTGGGCACAGAGCAAGTGCTTGGGATGTAATTACCCCTCAGTGCAGAAGGACATCAGTATGTGTACTAGCCATAAGGGGTGGCAAGGGGAAAACTAGCCTGGGAGTCAGAGGTCCTAGGGCTGGTCTCAGCACTGTCACCAACTTCATGTGACCTGAGACCTTGATGTTTTTATCCTGAAGTTGAAGAAATCACAGGTCCTGAGAAGGTAGTGATAGGTAGTTGGAGGTTCTTCCCAAAGCAAGTAAAAGAGAAGGCTCTTCCCACACAGCTGGCCTGCCAGATGAGCTGTTCTTACCCCCAACCAGATCTTGTGATAAGCAGTCCCTAATATCTCCTCTGACCATCTGTCCACCTAACTGCCTCATCTGCTCTGGCCTGGATTAGAGGCAGGACAGACATG